GCAATCTTCTGAAACACGACAGGCGTGACAGTGCAGAGTGTCATGGCAGCATTCCGATTGCTGTTTGTTTTCAATCACAGGAGCAAGCCAGAGCCAAAACGCAAACGCCCCCTGCGTCGCCTGCACCTCAGCCAACCGAGGAGAGGCTGCCCTCGAGCCCCGTCTATGAGGTTGGTGTCTTTGGTGTTTGAATGAGCGTGACTTCCTGCCAGAGCCCAGGTCCTCTGTGGAGCGGAGGAAGCCCCTGCAGGCAGGCAGCATGGTGTGGGTGCAGAGGGCATCGCTGCATTCCACGCCCAGAGAGGGGTGGGCCGGGAGCGCCCTGGGGGTGGGTGACATGCCTCGGTGCTGTCGGGGGACAGCTGTGCAGGCCCACGTGCCATCTTCTCACCCCTCTACAGCCTGTTGTAGTCTGGCCACTTTCACTGCAGTCCCTGCTGGGGTCACCTGCTGTCAGATAATCAGATGTGGGGGTCTTCCCCCCACTCGCTCTCTGCTGTGCGGGACGCCGCCACACTCCCTTCTGGCAATGCCGCCCTCCCTCATCACTGAGCCCCCACCTCCCGCGCGATCTGCCTTCTGTGCCTGCCCCGTTCAGCTCTCCGGCCTTGCAGCCCCTCATGAGTGTGCTGCAGACATGCTGTCCGGCCCCTCCCTGTGCTGCTGACCCCCTCTCGTGGGTCCCCCAGTGTTCCGTCCCCATCCCAGAGTTACCCGTCCCCATCCCAGAGTTACCGAGCCGTCTGCCGACGGCCCGCCCATCCCTGACTTTGTGTCTCCTGCTCCCTGCCATCTCTGCGCTAACCACACCCTCCACCTATAACCACCTCTCCTGGCCCCAGCCCTGCCCCTTCTCCATCCCACCGCCATCATCCTGGTCTATACATTCATCTCTCCTCGCCCAGGAGCCAGTCAGTGAGTTACGGGGGGCACACTCCAGACCACGGACCACGGTCGTTACGGGGGGCACACTCCAGACCACGGTAGTTCAGGAGCCCAGAGCGCCCTGGAGACAGGCAGGGTCTGGGGCCTGGGCCTCACTGGCCATGGCCTCGTCACCACCCGACTGTCCGTCCTGGACTGTGCTGCTGCCTTTACCCTGCCAGGCCCTGGGGGGATGTGGTAAGTGAGGCCTTGCAGCTCATCGGGAACTAGCCTCCCCCTCTCGTCCCTCCCCTTGGCAGTCAGCGCCGTCTGCCGCAAGGAAGCTCCGACCCTGCCCCTCCTGTGCAGCTCGGCCCTTGCGCAGCTCCCGGTGCCTGCGCTGAGGGTGGAGTCGCTCTCCCTGCCCGCTCACTCTCCCTGGCGAGCAGCGCTCCACCACCAGTTCTTCCCGGATCTCCTGGGTGCGCGTTTCTGAGCTGTTGGCATTGCTTTCTCTCACTGCCGGTGACATCAGGTGGACCCTGCTCAGAAACACTGATTAAAGCCAGCGTCGGTGATAAGCAGGTCGGGATTTTCGTTAGGGCTCCGAAGCTGCGGTGGTTATAAATAACGAGGTGTTCCGCTGGCACCTTTGTAGTTGAATGTGATTCTTCGGCGATGCCCTTACTGCCCTCTGCAGAGAGGATTTGTTTAGGGCAGAGCCCGGTCTGCAGGCTCGGCCGCTCTGCAGCCATGTGGTGAAGCTGCTGTCAGGCAGGGCCAGGGTCGAGCAGCACAGGGCAGGAGGGTGGCCACTCGGCCCCAGGGTGCCTTGTGCCTCGAAATCAGCCAAATTAACCCAACAAAGATGGGCTCTACCCCCAGGCAACAGCGCAGGCAGGGGCGTGGCTCCTAAGCTGCCGTGTGGGCGTGGCTACTGCAGGACTGGGGTGTTCCGGGGGTAAGGACCCAGTCATCGGTAAGGAAATGGCATGTGGGCCTCCCTGCACTCACCACCATGGTAAACATGCCAGCAGGCCTGGCCTTCCTATGCCACATCTGTTTTCTCAGTCCTGGCTGGGACTGAGAATTAGGTGGCCTGTGGGTTTCTGCTGGCTGTGGCAGTGCAGCTGCTGCTCTCTGGAAGCCAGCATGGGCCCCGTGCCATGTGCGTGTGACCCTTCCCCAGGACGCGGCTTCCTTCAAGGCAGAGCTGAGCTACAGAGGCCCTGTGAGTGAGACAGAGCCGGAGCCCTTGTACAGTGTGGAGGCCGCTGACTATCGAGAGGCCGGCAGCCAGCAGGGCCTGGCCTACGCCACAGAGGCTGTCTACGAAAGCGCAGAGGCCCCAGGCCACTATCCCACAGGTACTGGGCCCCACGCTGCAGCGCCCTTCCCAGGGCGGGGAGCTCCCGAGACATCCTGCTCGACCTGTGGCGTCCTTGCGAGGAGCGTGGGTGGGTTTCCCGCTGACCCGCCTTCGCCTGCTTGCTGCAGGGTCTTTCTGTCCCTTGAGGGAAGTGCTCTAGACACATTTGGGGCAGCGGCTCCTGAGCTGCATCCCGGGAAGATCCCCGTCGTGCTGGGGACGGGCGGGCAGGGCAGAGGAAGGGAGGGCTTCAGCTGCCGTCCTGTGTCTTTGGGACAGAATCTTAGGAAGTGTCGTCTAAAACTCGAGAAGGCTGGGAACCTGTGTGGGACTTTGTGTTGCTCAGCTCTGTCCTGGCTTTCTTTTAGAGGACAGCACCTACGACGAGTACGAGAATGACCTGGGGATCACAGCCGTCGCCCTGTACGACTACCAGGCTGGTGAGCGGCCCACAAAAGTGTTCAGAGGGGAGACCCGGGCGGCTGCACCCGCCTGTGCTTGTTTCCTGAGAATTGACTTCTCCAGCGTTGTTAGTTTTAGAAATAATTTATGTTGAGATAATTTCAGAGGTATAGAAAAGTTGCAGGTATGGTGCCAAGAACTCCCATGTTCCCTACCCAGATTCCATCTCCGCACACACACGCACCCACCCCGTTATCTTTAGTATTCTCTGAACCCTTGGAGAGCTGCAAGGGTGCTGCCAGCCCCAGAGACTCCAGCGTGTTTCCCAAGGTCAAGGACGCTGTCCCTCAGGGATGCCCCACCCTCCAGGTGAGGGGGCCACACAGATGCCCCATTCCTGCCTGTCCTGTCCTGGCCGCCAGCTCCCATGTGGCCGGCGTGTCCCCCCGAGTTCCCTTTGCGGCCTTGGCAGTTTAAGAGCAGCCTCAGCTCCTGGGCTGGCCTCAGCCGCCTGCCCTGTGTTCCCTCAGGGCCAGGCTGAGCCGTGCTCTGGTGGCAGTGAGGTCGTGGAGACCACGCGGTGGGGCTCCCTGCTGGGCCGCGTGGCGTCCACCTGTCCCTCTGTCTCAGCCACCATCTGGTCCACAAAGCCACTGCCACCCCTCTGCAGTTGACAAGCATCTTACGGGTGGCGTGGGATTCCTTTCCGAACCCCCGGCCGCTGCCTCTGAGTGCTTCCCGTTTGCATTTTTCCGTCAGTGCGGAAGTTGGCATGCTACCATAAGTGAGTGCTGGCTGTCCCCGTTCAGTCCCTTTTGCACACGTGCGTTTGCATGCACGCGTGTGGATATGTCTGTGGCATCTCGGCACCTGTGTGTGGATTCTCATCACCGTGGCTTTTGCCCTCCAGGCCCATTTAAGCCATCACCTCGGGCTTCTCTCCGGGTGTCCCCCAGCCGTCCCTCTACTGTGGCCTCCACACCCCCATGGCCTTGGGCAGCCCATCTCCCCACCCCCTCCGCAGACACGTCTGCCGGGGAGAGAGGGAAGGGAGGGCGGGCAGGGCTGGAGTTCTGTGGCGGAAACCTGCTCCTGAGGAAGGGCTCCGGGTGGGGTTGGTGTTTTGTGTGAGGGGCTCTGGGATCTCTGTAGTCACTCGGCTCGTGTTCTTCACAAATCCTGGTCTTGGTGGCAAGAGAGAGGCAGCAGGAGCCTCCGCAGTGCGTCTCTGCAGGGGCATCTCCTCGGAGCAGGCTGCCTGGGCGTTCGCTCTGGGCTGCGCTGTTCTTTCCTAGCAGACCAGGAAACGCTCGCACTTAGCACCTTTCTCTGTGTTCTCTTCCCAGCGGGTGATGATGAGATCTCATTTGACCCCGATGACATCATCACCAACATCGAAATGATTGACGATGGCTGGTGGCGTGGGGTGTGCAAGGGCCGGTACGGGCTCTTCCCAGCCAACTACGTGGACCTGCGGCAGTAGGGCCCCCAGCCCCCAGCCCCCGGAGCTGCGCCCCGGACCCTCACACTACAGATCAGGCCTTCTTTGGTTCTTGGGTTTTGGGTTTTTTTGTTTTTTTTGTTTTTTTTTGAAGGTGGGGAGGAGAATATACACATTGCTTTTATATTTAATACTTTTGCTGATGCTTTTGAAAATGTTTATGCCACAGAATTTGCTAATATATTGTAATCACATTCCTTAGGAGGACTTTGGTAATTGGTTTTATGCATTGATGGATTGTTTTATTTTTTGCCAAATTGACTGTCACACGCGGCAGCTTCAGGGAGCTCGCATTGTCTTGAGTGCGTGTTGCCCTCGTGCTCATCAAGTGCAGTCGGGGCCTCCCACGACAAGCACGAGGCCTCAGGTGGGCCCTGTGGCGGGTAGGCAGGAAGGACTGTCCCAGGCCCTGTGGCGGGTAGGCAGGAAGGACTGTCCCAGACGAGGGCTCCCTCTAGAGTCTCAGTGTTTGGGGGGAGAGGGGCGGGCCTGCTGGAGGTTAACACGGAGCTAAGTCACCCAGAACATAGGAGCTGCCACGTCAGATGGGAAATCTGCCTGTGTCATACCGTGACAGCCCGCGGGATCAGGTGCTTTCTAGCAGAGACCCTGGATTTTTTCCTGTGCCCACCCCGGCTCGTCCTCATCTCTACTCATCCCTTACCCAGGTCGCTGGGAGGGCTGCTGGGAGCCTCTTCTGCCCCTGCCGGGCAGCGTCACCAAGTCCTTGAAATCTTCCCCTGCCCCGCAGGTCTCTGGATTGGCACAGTGCAGTTGAGGTCTGCATTGGGCTTTTCTTTTCACACAGGCTGATGTCTTGACCGTCACCCAGGTGGTCTGTGGGCCACCGGGCAGCCTGGGGCGGTATATGTGCCGTGTCACAGCACGGCCTCTCAGCCTTGGGAAGGAAGTCGGTGCCTGCTCTGCTGTGAGCCACCAGGAGCCTCCTCCCATCGGTGGGGTGTAGTCTTTTTGCCAAAATATCATGTTCAATTACAGTAGTTTGATGAGCTGAAGGCTAGAAGTGTGAAGTGCAGATGAGTGCGTGTTCCTCCCCAAGGCCCCGCACAGCTCCGGGACGCCGCTGTCCTGGCATTTGTGGCCACTGACTTTGTAGGAAACTTACTTCCTTCCTGAGGAGCCGGGAGGCTGGACCAGTCCCGTCATGCAGTCAGGTGGGCGGTGTGTCGTTCCAGAAGGTCCCATGGAAATGTCTCGGGACTTGGGTCCCGGAGCACCCGTGAAGCGCGTGTTTTTGCTTCTGAGGTGCGTTTCTCATCCTTGCTTTACCACAATGAGCAATGAGGTCGGGTTTTATATGCAACTTATTGTATCTGAATTCCTGTAGCACACCTCATAGGTATGATTTTTTTAAATTAAAGAATTCAGAATAAACTTTTTTTGATCCACTTGTGTGATTCGCTTTGGTCTGTGGTCACTCCATTCTGCAGTGGAAGCTGTGTCGACACTCTGGGCATCCTGCGCCCCGGACCTGGGCTGGCGGAGGCTCCCCTGCCGTCCTGTGCATCTCGCGTGTTCTGTTCTGGCCTCAGACTGAACCGCGCGTTCCCTTTTCCGTGTTCTTCAGAGGTGCTGCTTAGCAACTCAAATGTGTTTACTCTCGCAGATCATCTAGTTTTTTGCACAGAGGTTCCAAGCAAAGTCAAACTTTCTGTGCTTAAAAGTCATTTCTGAATTACAATTCTCAAATCCTGAGGGGGATTTTTCTCCCAGTCTCGTTTTGCTCAGGGGCACCGGAAGTTAAAGGCTAAGGGGAACAGTGGCACTGAGGGAGCAGGTGTGCCCTCGGGAGCCGGGGGTGCTGGGGAGCTGAGTTCCGGCTCACACTTCCTGCCCATCAGGTGCTCCCAGGGAGCTTTCGGCTGCACAACATACCTGCTACCCCTTCCAGCCTGGGTGGTGACGGAGCACTGCCTCCCTTCGACTGTCCTACACCTGCCTCTGGCTTAGTAAACAGCGCCTGTGCCAGCTCTGCCCACAGGAGCCAAACGTGAGAGTGCCCTCGCCCTCCTCCACTACCGGGCTGCCGTGCATTCTGCATGACAGGGTCAGAGCCCTAATGGCGAGCCCTGTCCCACACAGCGCCTGTCTGCCGGGTGAGATGGCAGCCACCTGCAGGGAGCTGGGTCCTGAAGAAATGAGGCACGGAGGCTTGGGAACCAGGGGAAAGTCCCAGCACGGGTGGGCAGACGGGGTCAGGGGGCTGGAGGACGGTGCGACGAAGGGAGGCCGCCCTGCTGGCCCACTGTCTGCCCAGTCTGGCGCTACCTGTGCCGCCTGCGGATGAGCATGGCAGGGGTTCAACAGGAACGGGACACATCTTGAGCGGGTCTGTGTTTCTGTTCTGTTGGTGGCCGAGCGTTGCCTGGCAGCTTGTGCACCTGGAGCCAACCACCTGAATCTTAGCCACTTTCCTTTTAGATGTGGTTGGGGTTTTTTGTTTCTGTCTTTTGAGAAAGGATCTTGCTTTGTTGCCCAGGCTGGAGTGCAGTGGCACGATCTCCGCTCCTGCAACCTGTGCACCCAGGGCTCAAGCGATCCTCCCACCTCAGCCTCCCAAGTAGCTGGGACTACAGGTGTGCACCACCACACCTGGCTACTTTTTGTATTTTTAGTAGGGATGTGGTTTCACCATGTTGCCCAGGCTGGTCTAGAACTTCTGACCTCAAGTGGTCCTCCCATCTCGGCCCCCCAAAATGCTGGAATTACAGGCATGAGCCACCGCGCCTGGCCTAGATGTGGTCATTTTAATGTCAGCTCACTGTACCTTCTGTCTCAAAGTTGGATTCACTCCCCAGGTTCCCTCTGGCCTGAGGAGCAGCCCAGGCCTGGCTTGCCCAGCAGCAACTTGCTCTCAGCCCGCTGGAGGAGGGAGGGCAGGACATGGACATGCTTTTCCCTCTTGAGGCCCAAACATGGAAAATGTTTTGTGGCATGTAGGGAGCCATCGGCACGCAGGCACCTCCCAGAACCACCGGAGCCACTGCTGGTCGCTCTGGGTGCTCAGATGTGGGCACAGCATGGAGAGTGCTTTGTCCGGTGAAAATGCTCACTTTGCTCCTGGAAGATCTGCTGGCAAATGCTTCTTCAACCCAAGATGTGCAGAGAGCGACTGACATGGTATTAACTGTGCACATACTGTGTGCTGGGCCTTGGAGGGGAAACGGGGGAATGTTGAATAAGAGAGATGGCTCAGCCCTGGGGAAGCTGACCCAAGAAATCAGAGATTCCACCACTGCGTTTATGTTTATTTTTTAAATCAATTTATTCTTTCTGAGATGGAGTCTTGCTCTGTTGCCCAGGTTGGAGTGCAATGGCGCAATTTCCGCTCACTGCAACCTCTACCTCCCAGGTTCAAGCAGTTCTGCCTCAGCCTCCCGAGTAGCTGGGACTACAGGTGTGCACCACCA